GGTGGGAAAATTATGAAGCTGTGCAAGAAAAGCTCAGCTTCATAATTTTCCCACCGGGCATAGAATTCCCAAGCATAGATTTATAAAACACTCAACAACACGTTGGCTGACATTCCATGATGCAGCATCAAGGTTAATTGAGCAGTGGGAGGGTATAACTTACTACTTCTTAAAGTATATTCCTTCAAGTAAACAAAGCATAATGTCAAGTGCTTTGTACAGAAGTATATCCTGTTTGTTGAAGATTCCTTCCATGAAAGCAGAAGTACTACAAGGCATTTCAAGTGCAGAAATTTTCACAAAATATACATAATTTTTTCAAAGAGAAGAACCTCTAATACATCTCCTGTACAGCAAACCACTTGCTTCTAAAGCTAGTTACTAGAATTTTGAAAGTTGATATTTTGAAGCTTGTCATTCAGTCTAAGTCTGCTATGCCTGATAGTAATGTATTAAATCCAAAGAAATTATTTGACAAGACAAATCTTTTGCCATTAGAGGAAATTATTTGCAGTGCTGAGGTTTCTAATGAGTTGAGTAAATTATCTCAAAAAGATCAATTGCATTTTCGCAGTTGCTTACAGAAACACTATGTTGTGGCTTCCATATATATGATAGAAAAAGCTCCAATTCAATGCAAACTGTTGAAATCATTGACATGTCTTCAACCAAGTAATATTAGTGAAAAAAGCACTTATAAGGACATTGTAAGCATTGCAAGAGCTCTTCCATGTGACATTACTGAGGATACTTTGCAGGATGAGTGGCACCTACTTCAATTTGAGCGAGTTGAGTGATTTGACAGACTCAAAAGATGAGAAAATTGATTCTTATTGGAGTCAGTATTTTAAATTGGTTGACTCCCTTGGGAATGCAAGATATCCCAGTGTAACCAAATTGGTGAAATCAGCATTGACACTCTCTCATGGCAATGCTGATATGGAACGGGGATTTTCAATTTCACGCCGGGCACTTCCTCCTGATAGAGCATCAATGTCAGAAAGAATGCTTAATTCACTTTTGATTGTTAAGGAGGGACTAAACATGTATGACCGAAGCCCACACCTTGTACCTATTACAAAGGATTTACTGAAATTAGCTGCCTAAATCAGTCTAGCATAGGGAAAATTGGGGAATTACACTGCGAAATGGCGAATTGCACAGCGGCGTTATTGTGAATTGGCGTAAATTGAGCCGGTGTAAACCGAGGGCTACCTGTATTGCACTCACTTTTTACTCACTTTTTCTGTATTTCAACTCACTTTTCTCACTTTTTCAGAGGGTAAATAGCACTCCCAGGCCTGCAAATATTTCGGACATACACGAAACGACTGTGTGAATGTTGACATTTGCCAGATTTTGGTCATTCACAGTAACATATATATTTTTTTTCCAAACCCAATAGATACATATACGAGGGCTATTTTTTAAATAAGGTCCGTTTATGAATGAGAGTGAGAATAATGCGCGATCACGACAGCGCATATGTGCGTCTGCTCCAAGCATGCTTTGCGTGCGTTTAGACACCATTTGCAGCCTTATCGTCTGTCTGTGTGCTGAGCTGTAAAAAGTTTATAATGTTTAAGAAAATTGAGTCACCCGCCGACTGTGAGATACGATCTATTATTCGATTCTTGAGTGCAAGAAACTTGGCAGCAGCGGAAATTCACCATCAGATTGTGAAGTTTAGGGTAATAATGCTATGAGTGACAGTAAAGTTCGAAAGTGGGTGAGAATGTTCAAGGACAGGCAGGTTAATGTGCATGATGAGCCACGCCCTGGCTGACCTTCTCTGATTTTTGAAGATTTAGTTTGTGATGTGGATAACAAAGTTCAAGAGGACCAACAATTCATGATTTCAATGTTATCAATTGAATTTCCACAGGTTTCAGATCAGTTTTGTATACCATTGTTTCAGAGAAACTGAATTATTGAAAATTTTGTTCTCGGTGGGCTCCAAGACTGCTTTCTGACGATCACAAAACAAAAAGATTGGACACTGCTTTATCGTTTTTGACTCAATATGATCAGGAAGGAGATGAATTGTTTGACCACATTGTTACAGGAGATGAGACTTGGGTGTCTCACATGACTCCTGAGTCCAGGCAATGGTCAATGGAATGGCAACATACATCTTTGCCAACCAAAGCCAAACAATCCATTTCAGCACGAAAAATTATGGCAACTGTCTTTTGGGACAGGAAAGGAATTCTGTTAGTGGATTTTATGATGAGAGGCACAATCAATTCTGGTGCATATTGTGTGACCTTGTGAAAATTTCAGTGTGCCATACAAAACGAGCAGGGTGGTCTACTGTCTTTGGGTGTGATGTTGTTCCATGACAATGCAAGGCCACACGTTTCTGCACAAACACAAGGTCTAATCAGTTCTTTTGGATGGGAATAACTGGCTCATCCACATTCCAGTCAGTCCTTGCATCCAGTGATTTTCACTTGTTTCGATATGTAAAGGAGTTTTTTGGTGGTCAACGGTTCAACGACGATGAAGAAGTGAAAACTGCAGTCATGGATTGGGCTTTTTCACAGGTGGCGGATTTCTTTGAAGTCAGAATTAAAAAAATTGTTGAGTGGTATGACAAATGTATGAACAATAATGGAAATTTTGAGAAAAGTAGAAAAAAGTATGTAGAATATGGGAAAAAATATATTTTAATATTTACAGTATTTTTCTTCTTATTAAAAAAAATGGACCTTATTTAAAAGATAGCCTTCGTACTTTAATGATAGAGAGCGAGTGAGTATACAGGGTGCATAGGAAAGTCCCTTTAACCGGAAAATTCTTGCAAACAGAGAGAGCTACAGCTATGCAAGTGAGGTAACGGTACAGTAAAGCGACTACACCCGACCTAATGCAAATGACAGCAGCGCCCCTAGTAGCGAAATTTGGAAGATAGGCAGTGCAAATTGAAAATGAAAACAGATAGAGCAAACTTTCCAATTAGAAAGTTTCAGAGCATCAATTAATTAGTATGAAACGACATGTGGTTCACACAGATAAGATAAATTGTCGTCTGTATACCCAAAAATGTCCGAAAGCGATGCATGCCATTTTGTGTAAACGTTTGAAAGGAATAGCTATAGGTATGAAGAAATATGCACAATTTATTGCATAAAATACATATTTTGTCAATACAGTTTGATAACATCACACAAAAAACAACGGAAAGGCAAACTGTCACACAGTGATAACAAGTTAATGTCAAGTATGTTTGAAAAGTTTGCCATTGCTCACAATACACACCATTGTTATCAAACTGTATTGATGTAAGTACGTATTTTATGCAATAAATTGTGCATATTTCTTCATACCTATGGCTATTCCTTTCAAACGTTTACACAAAATGGCATGCATTGCTTTCGGACATTTTTGGGTGTACAGACGACAATTTATCTTATCTGTGTGAACCACATGTCGTTTCGTACTAATTAATTGATGCTCTAAAACTTTCTAATTGGAAAGTTTGCTCTATTTGTTTTCGTTTTCAATTTGCACTGCCTATCTTCCAAATTTTTATCTTCCTAGTGGCTTTTGCCACTAGGGGTGTTGCTGTCGTTTGCATTAGGTCGGGTGTAGTCGCTTTACTATACCGTTACCTCACTTGCATAGCTGTAGCTCTCTCTGTTTGCAAGAATTTTCCGGTTAAAGGGACTTTCCTATGCACCCTGAATAGTATATATAAAGACATGAAGTCAATATATGAGAAACCATAACTAACAAAACAGATCAGGAGTACCCAACTTTTTTATAGGACCAGTTCATGTGGCCCTTCTAAAAACACCACCAAGATAAGTCTGATGGCCAGGTACAAATGATATATTCAAAAATTAAGATCTTTTCATTTCTGGATAATAGCAGGCATAAATAAACATAAAATTTGCAACTGCTTTTTCAAAAATAACATCAAAATTTTGTGTTACTCAATATTAAAGTCTCCTTTAGATATTTGAATGTTGCACAATGATGTTCAATAATTTGTTTTTATATATTTTATTATTGAAAAAGTTTGTTTACAAATGTATGTAGAAGCAAAAATAGAAAATAACTCCAGTCTAAACTTCTTAATATCTTTAAAATTTGCTCTTGACAGAATCTGTAAAAATTTAACCAAATCATATGGAAAAGGTCAATTAATTTAGTTTGACTTTTCAAAATTTTATATACTTTGAACTAATTCAAATGTTGTTGATAAAACATGTTAGTGAAACAAGCTGCAAGGACTGGATAAATATACTTCAGAGGCTATGTTTGGCCCGCAAGCTTTAGGTTAAAGACCCCTGACATAGATGACTAATTTATAGCTAATATAATACATAAAATTGTATAGACTTTGATTAATTAATGGTATAGCTTATAAAATGCATTTATTTAGAAAGATTTATTCAATTTGTTATCTGTGTAAACTAAAAACCAAAACCAACCAACCAACCTGTGTAAACTATTATGCATTTATCTGTACATATTTATATATATTTATTTACTTTACTTTATATTTAATTATCTCATTAGTTATTTTTTAAATGGTGTAAATTTAAAATGTTCTACTTTTTGGAACATTTAACTCTTAACTATTAATAAAGTCAAATCAAGTTAACATATTCTAGTGAAAGCTATCATGCAATTTGGTAATTCAATTTCATTTAACTTGAAGATGGTTTTTAAACAGGTTCAAAAATGTTTGTGATTAAGTTTTCTGCTGAAATTTTATACTGCTACTTAATTTACAATTATCTAGTTTAATAGTACATGATATTTTATGTGTAAGAGTAGTTTTAGTAATTTTTATTTATATCTTGATATTGTTACATTTAAACATCATAATTATGTATAATTTTAAAAATAGTTTTCAACTATTAATATAATGGAAACTTTTATTGTAATATATTTTTCAGTTTGTTAAAATATGTTATATATTTTAATTGGGGAAAAGTATAGTTGGAGTTATAGTTTTCATTTTCTATATATTAACATTTCATTTTTAGAAGAGAAAGATATGGATAGAATGTTCAAATTGCCTCCTACAACCTACATAGGTGGAAAAGAAGATGTTTTACCTCTTCGTGAAATACTGAGAAGATTAGAGGTAAGAAAAATGATGTTTTTCTTCTTAATATAGTAAGGTTGCTGTTTATTCAATTTCTATGTATAATGTCCTTTTAATCCAAAGAAATTTTTCTTGGTAGATGATCTCACAGCTTTTTGGTCAGGAAATTACAGTTTTATTTTGAACAAATTTGAACTACAAATGCATTTCAGGTTGGTTTAAGTTTCCAACCCCTCTTCAGTGCTGTTAAAAAATATAAACAATATTATTATAATTATAATAAACAATATATTACAATTTGTATATATGTATTTTTAACAACACTGAAGAGGGGTTGGAAACTTAACTTAACCTGAAATACATTTGTAGTTCAATTTGTTCAAAATAAAACTGTAATTTCCTGACCAAAAAGCTGTGAGATCATCTACCAAGAAAAATTTCTTTGGATTAAAAGGACGTTATACATAGAAATTGAGGTTTTTCTTATTCAAATTTATTCACTTTAATATTTTACGTGTGATATATATGTGACCAAAGGGTCGGCACCTCTTCGATGCCCTGTCAAGACTGGCACTACTGTGTCCCAATGACACGGAAACTGCGACAGCAAATTAAGTTTGATTTAAAAGTAGGTTACACAAGTGACTGTGAGTGAGCAAGCAGATTTGGATGGAGATGAGTGAGACAGCACCTACGGAAGTACTGCACTCAGATACTAGGGTTAAAACAAATAAACGTTTAATAATCACAAAAAAAATAGGTTACAGGAAGGGTTACATATATTGTAACATTAGATTAACTGACCTATCTAATTGAGTGGTTGTGAGAGAGAGAGTTTACATTGGATCACATGTTGATATAAATACCTGATGAATTGTCTGGTTTGCATTCGTCCTACCATGAGAGTTTGTCCTCGGTATTAGGGTTGTCGGGCGGACAGTTTGTAACAGTGATAGAAACAGTTCAGAAATAGATGATATCTGGTGATTTGGCAATATCTGTTAAGGTAAAAGGTAATATCCTCATCGTGGATAGGTGATATCCGTGGCCAGAGGAGTGTTCATACAGCGAATAGGCAAGGTATCTGTTATTGTACTATAGGAGGTCCAGAACGGGCTAACGTGATAGAGCATGGAATGACTGACTCATTCAGTCATCAATGCTGATATATGAACAATATTGCCTGGCCAAGAGGTTAACAGATCACAGGAATGCATCATTTTCACCGTTGAGAAAGTGTAAATTGATATGTTCTTAGGTAGTAACGAATAGTCAACAATGTTAGTTGTCAAAATTATGTAAGATGAAAACGAAAAAAGTCTTATTAAAGTTTGGGTTCTCTCATATAAGTATTAGCTTTTCGTTTGAAAACTTATAAAGTAGTCTTCTGATTCAAAGGGTAGGTTACAACACCCTTAGTGGATGCCTGAAACTGCAGATAGTACCAAACTCTATATATACTATATATTGAGTTATTACAAATGAAATAGCTGCTTTTTTTTTAATTTAAACTTTCCGGCCTTCTATTTCAACTTTTTTGATGGGAACAGTGCTATATGTTTGCAATTGGAAGAGTACACATATCATATGTAATCTCATTTATTGTTAATACAAATAATACTATAAAGTATCATTATTATATTATTATTAATATTAACTATTTTTTACTATAAGATAAATGTTCATTGTTAATGAAAAAGTATTAGAAATTTATGATAATGATTCAATTTTTGTGGGCCCTTGACACTTGGGGGCCCAGGGCCTAAACTCTATTAGTTTCTATGTAGATCTGCCCCTGGATATAGTAACCAGAGTTAAGACGGTGTTGTGACATGCTGCTTCTTAAATAAGCTTTGATTAATTTTAGTTTTGAAAAACTTCTTTGTCGTCACCCATAATGTTAAAAAAATGAGGCATGCTGCAATAATGTCGGAGAACCTATTTGAGGCTGCGGTGTGAAATAAAAGTAGTTCAGCAACTTCGCTTATAGAAGTAATTTCTTTTACCTGACTATAAAAACACATTTTAAATCGAAGCAGTTGAGGTCCAAAACTAGGTGAATATGCCAATTGTAACAATTCTGATTGTTCCAGAATATTTTTATCAGATGACACGACAAGATATGCAGGCAAAAAGCGCTTGAAAAGTGTACATAATTGTCGAACGGATTCAAGTCTAATAGTTAATTGATTAATTATTAAATCCAAAAATTTTTTTACAAATGTTTTTATAAGTTTTTAGTTTGCCCTTTATAACTTGGAGCCCTCATGATTCATGCGCCTGGAGCAATTTGCCCCAACTGCTCTACGATAGCTATGCTTCTGACTGTTGGGTTTGATTTAGTTTGAAATTTATTGTTAAATAAGTTTTAGATTGCTTTTATATGCTTTTAGTTTGGCTATGCTGATTGTTCAACATTATAATTCTTTTTGCTTTCTGAAGTGCTGTAGCCAATTGGATACTATAAGAATATAGAAATTCTACTTGATAGCCAAGGAGACACCCTACCTTCTGATGTTATAACCTGGACTTTGGTCCAGGTGAAATTTTTAAGAATCTTTCATGATAGATATGTTGGCACTGTTCCTTTCCACTTATGTTTTTGTTTGAATATTTTTGTGAATGAATACACTATAACATGAACAATTTGACTATAATTAGAATAAAAATGGACAAATACATGTAAAAATAATTAGGCAGTTTTAGTTCATATTTTAAACAATTGTTTAATTGTGGGTGAAATGCTGCAGTGGGATCTTTTCCACTGCAGCATTTCACCCAACTTTACTTTAGCTTTTAGCATGGTAATGGTTTGTGTGAGGTGAAAATTCTCTTAAATATATATGTAATTCATAAAGTTGAAAGTGAAACTTACTGCTCTAAGGATAAGAACATATCACATTTTCTAGCCTAAATTTATAAGTGTCTTCTAGTTAAATGTGAAAGTGAACAAATATGGCTGCTGGTGTAGAAATAGTTAAACAGCATCTAAAATCAGCTAATTTCTTATTTTTGATGGTTTCATATTAAAAATAACAAAGAAAAAATATTTCAAAAAGACTTGGACGAAATAGGGGTGACAAAAATGAGAAACATTGGGACCTTCAAAGACTAGATTCAAAACAGGAAGTGTGTCACTTCTGGAGATGACAAAAAGGAGGAATGAGTGTATATAGACATTATATATTCTATTTAATATTTATACATCCTCATTCTCATTTTTATATATCCTGAACTTCACTTATATGGTCACACATGAAATTCCCTGTAAAATTGTCTATCTCTATCTTGGCCACCTCACTTAAGTGGCCAAGATAGAAGTATCCTAAAGTGACATTTAATCCTCATTTACATGCCAACAAAACAGGAAAATCCCATGTTTCTAAATTCAAGCTATTGTTTAAAACAGTTTCAATAGAATTGAGCTGTGTTGCTATAGCTTTGGAACAGCTTGCTGAGATCTGTATTAAACATTTAACAGGATTCAGTACAGCATTCTAATTACATTTCTGTATATCAAATTTTTTTTCATAACTCTGCTTAAGTGACTACCTCATTTATTTGGCCAGAAATTGTATATCTCAAAGGTGGCCACATAAGCGAGATTTTACTGGTTATATTATATATAATGTATAAATCTATTGATAAGAAATTTTAAATATTAAAATTAATTTTAAAATATACTTTTACATTCATTTATTTGAGAATAATAATCTGCTACATGTACATAATTTACTTTATATTATTTTTACAGAATGTATATTGTCAACATATTGGTGTAGAATATATGTTTATAAACAGTTTGGAACAATGTAATTGGATTCGTGAAAAATTTGAGACACCGAAAATTATGGATCTAACTAAAGAACAAAAGAGATTATTACTTGCAAGACTTGTTCGTTCAACTAAGTAAGAAATTTTTGTATTTTACTCTTTTCATGTTCTATTGATAATTCTTAGTTTCCTAATAATTACAAGTAATGTTTTATTACTTAGCTTAACAACTGACTTGCTGTCAAGTAAAATAAATATATTTGCTTTATGATTTGGATTTCCCACATGTGATTAATGTAGTTATATAAAAAAAATTCTTTATGTAGTTTTGTTTTTGTTAGATTTTATTAAATTACTTATTAGATTTTGTATATTAAAAATACTTATTAAATGTTTTGTTAGATTTTATGAAAATAGTTGTTAAAATCAAGCAACATTATTAATGAAACCCTTATTGCTACAAGAGGAGCAATATGATATTTAAAAATTCTGTAATGTATATGTTATGATAAAAGTGATTAACTGGTGATTATGCATAATCATAATTGCCAGCTATTATATATAATTGCCAATCATCTTGATGAGTTTGATAACTTTCACTATATTTCTCACTTTTATGGACAATTTTACATAATTTTCAAATGAATTTGGTAAGTTTGATAAACTGAATATATTATTTTTAAAGCGATTTTTGCATAATTTCCAAAATATACTTCATAAATTTGATAAATATCATAAAATTTTTTATTTTTTGTTGTTTTAATAAAGTAACTTGCAGATTTAAACAAATTTTTAAAAAATAAATTAAAAATACATTTTTTGTTTTATTAATATTAGAATGATTTCATGGATATAAGGAAACTAAGAAACATCTGTTTCAGCTTAATATTAGGATTATGTGAACAAAAATATAAAAGAATTTTGCTGAAAAAAAAGAATTTTAATAATTCTCACTGCTTATTCAAACATGCCAAACTATCGTGACATTTTGAGTTACAAAATTTTTCATTTTTCTTGCATTTGCATTTGGTTGAATTACACTTTCTTTTAAATGAGTGTTTTTGGTACCCTTGATCTCCCGAAATTGATGTTTTTCTTGCATACTTCCTAAGAGACAGAGTGATATTTGGTGCATTCTCTATTGTAAAAAGTTGTTTGTCAGATAGCACAAATTAGTTTCTGATATACAATTGTGAAAAGCCTCTCCTTTGTTTTCAAGTGATAGTACTCATTTTCAGTAGCTAATATATTTTCACTGCCAATATATTCTGTGGATTCTCTCTTGCCCTGTCCACATCTGGTATTCTTAGCTTCACTGCATCTCCCACTATGGCTAATGAAAATTTCAGCTTTGATATTTTCATTTTCTTTGCTTGAGCTTCTAAATTGGCCTTTGCATTCACTTGCTTTTTCCTTTCTGTTCTTGATTGTAGAAAGACTGATCATTTCCATACTAGACTGTACTTTGGTTGATGAATTGGGGATAATCACATTGGGTTGGTTGAGTGATGGCTATTCATTTTCAATACATTTTTCTGAAATATTTTCTTTGATCTAGTGATTCAAATCACTAGATAAAAATCAAAGTCAGTATCAATTATATGAAAATATTTCAGAAAAAAGTCTCCAAAAGCTTCTATTATTTTACTTAATTTAGCATTTAAATCCAAAATACTTTCAATTTACATTACCACTTAACTCTGGACTTTTTCCAGAAAATTACTCTTATGATTGGATAATAAAATAGTGTTTAACATTTGAACTTTAACAAAATGTTTATACCAAAGTGACAAGCTATTTTTAGGAGTACGTGATTAATCTTTGTAGGCATTCTGGCTGTTATTATGCAGATTGGTTTAACAATAACTCATAAATATAGTAATAAATTAATATAAATTCCAAAAAAATAAAAAAAAAGTAAACCAAAAAGAAAACTACAAAGTCAGTAAAGTTCTAAAAAATTATTTCATCAAACAAAGTCAATAACACAGTGCAAGAATTGCAGTGCTCTACTTCCGTGAACATCAGAAATATATGCATAGTAAAATTTATCTACTTAGTAGTGAGAAAGTTAGAGTAATTAGTTCATTAGAAAGTATTTTCAGAATTAAAGACAACAAAATACTACAATGGTCACATGCTTCTCATAGCTAGAACAGAACAGCCATAAACAGTCATTTTGATTGTTCTTGTCAATATTATTTAAACTGCATTAAATTATTTCAAAATGTTTAAGACTATTAAAAAATGACTAGATTAATACAAATAATGAATGATAAGAGTCATATTTCAGTTTTGTTTTATTCTGGAAGATTATTATTTATGTCAATTGAAACACACGCAAGTTCCAATGATTTTCAATACTGTTCAACCCTTTTGCAACACTGGAAGTATACTACACTTCACTTACATGCTAGTAATAGGTTTGTTTTATCTTATAAAAAATCGTCCCACAAACGTTTTCGAACTTTATGGAGTTCTTCTTCAGGTGGAAAAAGAAGAACTTTATGAAGTTCTTTTTTTTTTGCAAGAATTCCATTTCCACCTGAAGAAGAACTTCATAAAGACAACAATTAACACCTTAATTCTAATTCCAGCACTGAATGAACAAAAAATTTTAATGCTCGAATGTTTTTGGCTGTCTTTTAGAGGCCCTTCTCAGGATGAAACACACAAAAAAACAGTTCTATCATTTAAAAACTTCTAACCATCAAATACAGCTGTGTTCCAAATTTTTAAATATTTAAACGATGTACCGTATGATATAAAAATTGTTACGTTTACAACATAAAAATAATTATTTTAAAATAAAGCTATACATAAATTATTGTTATATCGTTGTAAAAATTAGCGCGATGTAAACGANGTGTTCCAAATTTTTAAATATTTAAACGATGTACCGTATGATATAAAAATTGTTACGTTTACAACATAAAAATAATTATTTTAAAATAAAGCTATACATAAATTATTATTATAGCGTTGTAAAAATTAGCACAATATAAACGACATGGAAATTGTTTTCTTTTACAAAGCAGAAAGATGAAAAATAATTACACATACAATTATTGTTGTGCTTTGTAGCGATGTAAATAATACTTCCACGATTGTGGAATCGGAATATACTCGGAGTTAATGTAGTTTCCCTTCACAGTTTATAAATATAAATCTCAATAGCCTCCAACGAGCGTAAGTCGTGTCAGTCAAAGGCCCTATGCAAAAGACTAGCCTCATCCCAACATGGGGAAACCCCTGGTTCGGTAGCATACTGGTAATAACTTCATAAAGTTCGAAAACGTTTGTAGGATGATTTTTTGATAAGTTACACATTGGTAATAGTTTCGTTTTAAGTGTAAGTGTCCAATGATTTTTTTTTCTATTATTCTAAGCTGCTATTATTTTAGATATTGTATTGTCAAATAAAAAAATTAATATTTTTCTACAATTTTTTGTAGAAATGACTGAGCATAATGTTCAAATTTTTGACTGTTGACACAGATCTTATGTGAACATTTGCTACAATCACTCGTATCTTACCAAAGATATGACAAGTTTTTTTCATGGTATTCAGAATTTTTGACATCATCATCTCTTCTGATTTGGGACTGAGATTTTGTGTCTTGGTCTAAGATTTGACTTATACATAATCTACCATCACTTTTCCATCACTTAGATGGATAATGAATGGATGTCGAAAGATTTTCTGATGGTAACTTTATGGATGACCCAGAAAATGTTCACTGCCAGATATTATTAAGTATGTTAAAAATATATTTGTCTGTCATATTTGAGATGTAATTTTTACAAAATATTTATTTGCATTTGATCCACAGTTATGCACAAAGTTTTTGGTATTGTAGAATTCTGTTTACAGAAAGTTTTTGTCTTCTCTACTTGTTTTCAGTGTTTGGATGTAGACTGCTCAAAACTAAAGATTACTTTTTGTTTTCTTGAAAGGCAGTGAGAGTTGTCTCTCTTCATCTTTTTATTTTTACAATAATTGCTAGAGAGTAAGGCTATTAGGTGTAATTATTATAGGATAACATGTACAAACACAATGAACATTAATGGGTATAATATTTACAACATGCATCATGCACTTCATCAATAAAATAGATAAAGTTGATATATGTCATCAGCAAATAATGTCCTGCATAGTTAAAAAACAAGAAAACATTAAATTGATCACTAATGATTGTTTTAGATTAATGGTCTACATTCTCATTTTTGTAGAATTTACACACACATTCTTGTGTGAACATACTGTATATCCATGAATGAAGAAAAATTTAAAAATTTTGAACTCATTTTGCAAAAATTATGAGCACTTATGGTACATTCACAAATTTTACTAGTGGTCTTATTGACTGTTCTGGCTATTCTATTATTAAAGTATAGTAATCTTACAATGAAATTATAAATCCTCAAAACTTGTATTATAATTATAATAAAGTCATATATTATTTTAAAACTGCAGTCATCTTTGAAATTACAATTTTATTAACTGATTCGAAATGAATTATTTATGTCATATATTGATTAATATGGATATTTTGAATAATTTCATTACTATTTATTTTGGATGATTGCATTCATTAGTGTTTCAATATTCATTGTTTAGCAGTTAAAATATGTAGAACACGAATAGTTAAGCATAAAATTTAATAAAATAATAAGCATTTTTCATAATAAAGATACTTAACAGAATTTCAAATACAAAAGTTTAAGTGCATAATTCTCTTTTATTACTTTTATGAAATGTTGATTGATTTGACTTATGTTTATAAAGAAATGATTATAGTTATGAGTGTGATATAGGTAACACTCCAAATCTTCAAGATGAAAAGTATTTCTGACTTACTTCAAATATATACTTGAAGATATTATGTTATATTCCTAAATAACTACAGAATGATTAATGTGACTGTAATTATTATATTTAGATTTGAAGACTTTTTAGCCAAAAAATGGTCATCTGAGAAGAGATTCGGATTGGAAGGATGTGAAGCACTTATACCTGCTATGAAGACAATCATTGATCGATCAAGTGAACTTGGAATTGAAAGCATTGTAATGGGAATGCCACATAGGTTTGTATTATTTTCTTTTAAAAGTGCATAATAGAACAATGAGAAATATGATTTTCACACTTTTTTATATTTTTATTATATTTAATAAAAGATATTACAGTAATTTAAATTTTTGTTTTTGTGAATGAAGTACAAATATACATCTATTCTTTATTGAAATTCTTTTCATAGTTCCTTTAAAAATTATTTATACAGAACACACTTACTAATCTGACCTCTCAATTCTCCAGTGTGATTGCATATGCACTTTCTTTCCATGAAAATGTTAGTCATGTAATACATCTCGTTATCCTGTTTACTGGAGTGTCATTTCTATGTACAGTATTTCATGTTAGTGTACCATATTTGCCTGCATGCCTCCAAAACGAATTGATACTGAAGATGTGATAAGTCACATCATTCATTACTTTTAGATATATATACTGTACACACTAGGATTTCTCATTTCTCGGGAAATTTGCCTCCAGCAGGATTATGGGAAAAATAATTTCTTTTCCCGGATCCTGGGAAATTCCGGGATGAGATAGTAAAATAGAATTTCATATGAATAAAAAATATCATACAGGAATATCATAAATTTGAATAATTTAATTAATTTTCTAGTAAGTAACTAAAAGTGTAGGGCTAATCTCACCCATACCGACGTGTTAGGCTCAATTAATTTATGTTCTCCTACATCAGCGCTGTCCAACTTATCATAGCCCGCGGGCCATATTTTCTTCACCAAACATTTTGGGGGCCAAGAAGGTTGGTGATGGCTAATTGGTCGGCCGGGAATCATGCCACGTGACATTTGCATAGTGCTACGGTCTGTAAGCACTAATTGGTCAGCGAGTCCGATGTTGACGCTATAAAAAGGCGACAGTTCGACACACCGGATATACGTCACTCTCGTCTAAGTTCGACTTGGGAATTTTTTTGTTCAATAATAAATGTGAATTCTTCCTGGAAAAAATAAGACCTAGCGCATTTTTCAGAGCAAAAATTAATATAAGACACTGTCTTATTTTCGGGTAAACACGGTAGTAAAATAATTTTAATATTAATAATAATAATTTAGTAACATAAATTTATTCATATTAAAATGTACTCGCGGGCCGTAAAAATTATTTGGCGGGCCGTATATGGCCCGCGGGCCGCCAGTTGGACAGCGCTGTCCTACATTATAAGGTGAAAGTAAAATAAAGCATTTCATTGGGAGTTTTAATGAACATAATAATTATGAAAAAAATACTGTTTTATTTCTAAAGATGAAATAAAAATATACTTATTCCATAAATTTAATGACAAAAAGACAATTATTTTGAATTGAACAAAAAATACAACTTCTCCAAAAAAAATTATTTTCAGTTGAACATAAAAAATACTACTAAAAAAATTTATGAAAACAAAAATCTCTCTCTCAAAAAGAAAAAAAAACTTATAAATTTTCATAATAAGACTTCAAAAAACAAAAATTATCAATACTTTGATCACTTAATCTAGTTCTCAATTTGGTCACAAAAGGACCTGCAGCTGAAAATGCCAATGGTTTGATTTTATAAATTATACTAAAATAAATTTTTGTAAAATATGAGTAATTGACTAATGTAGGAATTTCAAATAATCACTTACAGTTACAAACACTAGGATATAAATGGGAATGTAAGCTTTAACAAATTCTTTAACTTATAAATGCAAATTCGAAACTAAAGTGCAATGAGTGATATTTACTTGTACTTTCAGCGAGTGCTCTGCTGTTCAATGATGTACAAACACAATACATAGATATTACATGAACTAACAAGTAGACTTGTAAAACATAGGTACAGTAATAATATGCAGCATGAAACCTCAAAATTTCTCTCTTAGGTGAGTCTTCAAGGTGCAACTTTTCGTATAATAAATGATAGAAAGAAAACCTGACATGATAAATTATTATTGAAATGCGAGATTTCCTGAGATTTTTCTCATAGGGAATAAACAGTAGAAATACTGGGAAAGAAACCCTAGTACACACTCAATAATCTGGCACTTTGCTAATCTGTGCAAAGAATGGCTAGATTAGCAACAGTCTAATGTGTATTATACAAATATTATTCATCAATAATATAAAAAATTTGTGTTTACTCAATGACATTTAAATAAATATATCTTGCTTACAATTAACATTTATAAGTTAATGGTAAGTTATAAAAAAAATTTGAAAACTAAAAATAAAGTTTATTTCATTTTTTGAATCTTTTTATTAGTGATTAATAATTTTTTGCTTATTCATCAATAATTATATGCTAATATTATGGATGAATAATTATTAATGAATAAGAATAATAATCATCAATAATGATTCATTCATCAATATTATTGATGAAAGAATATTACATTTTTTTTTTGATTTGTTAATTTTAACTATTTTTTCCCCCTTGTGAATCTAAGATGATTTTTTTTCATGTGCATCATGGATTTTGCTAGGCCCATAATAGGATAAGTAGATGATGCATAATTTTATATTAGTCTTTTTTCTTTATTTTTAAGTAATATTTGTGTTTAAACTTAGAAAACTTATGCTCTGAGAGTGACAGCATTAAGGGATTTGTACATCTAAAATTTTCTTTTAATTTCTCTAATCACAGAACCTTTTCAGCATCCAGTAAAACATGGAAGATGAAACAAACATTTTTGGAATTCATCTGATCCACGGAATCCACTTTTCTTTTAATTCTTCTTCTATTGTTAATTTTTTTTATTTATCTCAATAGTAAAGCCTAAATTTTCATTAGTTTTTCTGGTTTTCATTATTTTCAGTACTTTTACTGGAAAAAGTCTCTTTGGTAATTTCTGTTGAAAAATAAGAAGTCCATTTTTATGATACATTAGGATTCATAGGATATCCCAAAAGATTTTCTAAATCAATCTTCTGTCTTTATTTAATTGAGTTTTGTTTTAAATGACAATTCTCTGCTTCAGTCACTTTTGGTTTCTCTGTTTTGTTAATATGATTTTGATTGATAATTGTGCTGAACAGAGTTGCATCTTGACTACTAAGTGCTTTGACGGTCAATTTAATTGGAATTTGTGAATTATTCAAATTATAGAGTAATTGAATGTTGAGGTATTTGACTAAATTTGCATTACCAATATTTTTTAAGAATTTTTTTTGGAATAAATTTAAATGGTCTTAAAAATATTGAAATCAAATAAAGCAACAAGTTCCTATCTGTCTTAATATCCAAGACTAATTCCACTAACAGGGATTGCCAGGCCAGAGAAAGAGGAGCCAGAGGAGCTGACTCTTTCTCTGGCCTGGCAATCCATGTTGGATGCCAACCCTCAACTACCTCCTTTAGTGCACGACCACGCATGTCAGAAAAGACCCACTTCATCGGAATGACACCTGATCCCAACAAATAGAATACACTTCATTCAGGAAATTCCAGTTGACCTGAAGAAGAGCAGAGATTGCTTGAAAACGTTCAACGCGGTATACAATATATAGGGGTCACGCACCGGTTACAGATTCTGGATAGTGTAGTGTAGATTTCACCCCCGGTGCTGAGGTTAGAATAGTTTCTGTATATAAATTATTTTTTTTACAAAAGTTAGTTTAAACAATTAAAAAACTAAAAAATCGGATTTGGGTAAAATCATCTATACATTACTTTCATTTTTCTATCATAAATAAACCACGTTTATGTATAAAAAAAATGAATTATTTTGTTGCTGTAAGGTGAATGGGTGGTTTAATTAATGTTAAATAAACTACTAGTTCTTGGCTGGAATATCTGGCATTCTGATTTCAAGAGTTGAATGTAAATCTGGCATTTGGTGCACAAAGGATTAATAATTTTTATTAACTGAGTTTTAGGCCACCATTGACTGAGTAGGTAAAGCCACTGAATGGTGGTAGTTACTCCTCGATTTGTCTGGGTTAGGCTAACCTCAGTTTTATAGATTTTTGTTGTGTGTCTAACTGAGGTGTTGCAATGACAGTTCAAGAGTACTGCAGAATGGATTGATGGAAGAAAGCAATGCAACGATTGGGCAATTTTGTAAGGAGTGCCATCAGGGAGGAATTTCTATGGAGAAACTGGCTCTTGTTTACTGTTTAAATGTGTAGAAAAACACAGAAAAACTCCATGTTGCTGGTTCATTGGTGAGACGTGAACCCTGGTACTGCAAAATACACTCATGTGCAAAACTTAAGGATAATGTGCATTTACATAGAAAATATGTTGGGAAACAGTGGTAAGTGCATGTAGTGTTTTCTAATTCAAATCCTTGACTGTGTGTCACACTTGATCCATGAACCTACTGTTTGGTGGTACTTTAAACACTCGTAGTCAGATACGTGCCGTGTGCAGTTTGAACACACCAATAGTTGTGTTCGTTGCATTATTGATTGAATACACACAGCAGTATTGTTGGCCTTACTGGTAGTGCACATGTAGGAGAATGATGCAGAGACACCATTTGGATGATTTTATGCGTGGACGAATTGTTGGATGACTGGAGAGCAGTCAGACCCAAATGGAAGTGTCATGTGCATTGAGTGTCCCCCAAAGTGTCATCTCAAGGGTCTGGCAATGATTCCAGCAGGGTGAAAATGTCACTTGGAGGTGTGGTGGAGGCCATCCAAGTTGTATCACTGGCCAAGAGGACCATTACTTACGCCTAACAGCCAGATGCAATAGATACAGCACCACTTCGGATCTCACTAAAGATCTTGCAGCTGCTACAGGAACCAACATTTCAAGGTTTACAGTGTACAGACAGTTAACTGAGGAATGCCTGTATTTCAGAAGACCAGCAAGATATGTTCCATTAAACCAAGTGCAAAGAAGAGCTCATTTGAATTGGTTCAGGGAACATCACACATGGACCCAGGAGCAATAGAGTCATATCTTGTTTACAGATGAATCCAGGTTAGTGGTGATTCACATGTCTTCATCTGGAGAGAACCTGGGACACGGTTCCGTCCAGAGAACATTACTGAATTGGACAGTACAGAGGTGGAGGAGTCATAGTGTGGGGTGGCATCATCCTGGGGTCTTGCACTCCCTTGCATGTCTTCCCACGGGGTTTGATCACAGGTGCGGTGTATTGGATGCCATCCTGGACCAATATGTTCATCTCTTTCGAGGTGCAGTGGGCAGTGAGTTTATTCTGATAAATGATAATGCTCGTCCCCATCAAGCAGGTGTAGTGGATGAATACCTTGAAACAAAAGATATCAGATGATTTGATTGGCCCAGTCACTCTCCAGACTTGAACCCAATAGAGCATGCATGGGACATGCTTGGCAGGTGGATTGCATGTTGTCAAATGGCTCCAAGGTCCATTCCCAAGCTCATGAAAGCACTGGTCCAAGAATGGGAAGCCATACCCCAGCCACTTCTTGATAACCTCATTCTCAGCATGCATTCGCATTGTGGTGCATGTCTTGCAATGCGGGGTGATCACACACACTATTAGTGTCCCTGTGCCGCATCTTGTCTCCTGGACTAACACATGGGTACATTTTCTGATTTTCACACAATTCTCAATTGTTGTCCGTGTTGCCCACTCTGTACCTTTTCTCATACTGTTTGCAGTTTGATACCATTTGCAATGCAACCTGCAATCTATATATATGGAAATTCTCCTTGTTTTTCCTATCATAAATACCTTACACCACATTAGCCTTAAGTTTTGCACATGAGTGTATAATGCTGAGTAGTGCCTTAACACTTTTTGTATGTATTACTAGAAGTGATAAAGTGCTAAAAACACATTAACTTTATATTGATAAAGAAGTAGGGGGTGCTGCAAAAACAAAAAAATTATCAAGTGGAGTGCTACTGTTAGAACAAGGTTGCAAAACACTGGTCTAACACCTAAATAGTGGCCAGTTTTGTGTAGAAAATCTTTCCAAAAGATACACCTCTTAGCAATTGCTTTTGTATTGTGTTGTCTTAGCCCACAAACAAACAACAGAGTTTTAGTCTTGGTCAACAAAATGTTTAAAGTTGTTAATTGTCAATATGTTAAAATGTAAGAAGTGAAATAAAATTACATATTAACTAAATCCAAATTTAATATTTCATACAGTGTAGAATTGTAAAAATGGTGATAAACTGAGTATTATTAATAAAGATAAACAAAAAAGAAATAATGAAAGTTGAGAAAATTCAATTATTTTTTATTGTTAACATAAAATTTGGATGTGAACTTTTCAAGTTTTGAGTCAGAAAAATAATCAAGACATTCTATTTCAAGCAGAGTCTGTATACTCCAACCTGAAAATCCTTAGAAAATTAAGAATTTTCTGTTTTAAGAAATATGATTTTTTTTAATGGATTTTGTTAAGCTCACACTAAAAAACAGATTAATATAAGAACAACTGATTAAGTTTTATATTTATGAACTGAATTAAATTAATTTTTTGAAATAAATATTTATTTTTATTTCAGAGGAAGATTAAATGTATTAGCCAATGTTTGTCGTAAACCTTTAGAACAAATTCTTACTCAGTTCAGTGGATTAGAACCAGCAGATGAGGTAAAAAAATTTTTTATTAATTTTCATAAATTTTATTCAATTAAATTATTGTAATTTTGTGTGAACAACCTGCAGCAGTGTATAACTGCAGAAAATTGCAAGAACAAAAGTAAAATCTTTGTATAATCCATTCCACCATATACTTTATCCCTCCAGTGAGATTGTTGAAAGCAAGGTTAATACTAGTATCCAGTTTAGAAGTTGTCATCTCCAGCATTGAAATATTGCTTTTTCCATTTCATTTCTGTATAATTGTAGATATACATAAAAACACTAAGTCCAAATGTTCTAGAATAATCATACTAATTTCCAGATTATTGGGACTATTAATTGGTCTGGTATATTTCTATGCAAGAAAAATTATACCCATTAATTCATTATCATTATCAGTAATTCATTTTTTCCATTATCATTTGACTATTAATGTTACTTAATATCAATGTTATTGCAATGGTGATGTGTAACAACACCATTACAGTACCATTCTGCCAAGTTTATAGCAAATGATATTTATTAATGACTATTTGACACATTTTGCAAACTAAAATCTTTAATTAGTAAATATACTAATTAGAAAAATATATATATTTTTTGAATTACTAAATTATTAAGATTTAAAATAACACATTTTATTATAAAAAATAATTTATCCTGTTGTTAATCTACAACAGTAAAGCTTTATGACTTCTATAAATTTTTAATTATTATTCATTAATAATTCATGTAACAATAAAGCACAAAAATATAAATTTATATTAATAAACTGGAAGAATATTTAATCGAAAATTAAATTAACTATTTTCTTACACAATCAAAATTATTAAAATGATAAATGATACAACAATTTATGATTTTTCCACTTTACTTTTATTTAGATTAGTTCATTAAAACCTGACCTTAAAATGAGGGTGTGAAAGGTAATTGTGAGAAGTTAGAAAAAAGTTAAAATACATTCAAATCTCATTATTATCTTATTAATTTATATAAACAAAATCCACATTAATGCAAAGCAGATTTGTAATCCTGTGGACGAGGACAGTTTAACATTAACGAGTTTGGTTAATATAGAATATCAGATATTATGTAATATGAAGCACCTTCTGGTTCCTTGAATTTAATAACAATTCTATTACATCATTTAGTACAAAGCATACTGCATCCTTCTTCCCTGAAATCATATGAGTCATCATGACAGCAACAAGGAACATCATGACCATCAGAAACAGTCCTTAATTAACAAAATTTATTTTTAAGGCTCATTAAAAGAACATTGGAGGCAGAAGATAGCTACATTTAAATGTATAATAATATGAACATTTTAAATATAGAAACAATCAAACACAATAAAGTAATAAAAATGTATACAATGGTTTTACAGTGAATTGGAAAATAGGGATACAGAAATTCATCTTTAAAATTGCTCTTCAGCTTTTAGCAGTGCTGAATTAATCAATTACAAAAAAAAAAAAAAAAAGAAAATCCTAGTTTTGCAGCAATATCTCTTTCAATGGACAAGATTGAAAGTGAAGAAAGTCTTTGATTGGAAGTAATTCTTGATCAGTTTTAACTTGGAAGATGATTTTTCTTCAGATGCCAGCATAATTATCAGTTTGGTGATTTAAATAGTAAAATATACTACCAAGTTTTGAGAGACCATGTTATTGCTTTATTCACCTTTATATAGGGTTGTTTCTGATGACTAGGGGAATTCTTTTACTTTTAACATTAGCCACAATACTTACAATGTCAATATTATGGTCATTGTTGCCAGTACTATTACAAGCCACACCAACAATGACTCCAGCTTGATAAATTACACTTTCTTATAGTCTGTGCTTCTTACACTGTGACAATTACTAAGACAGTTGACATCATATTAGAAACCAGAGGTTAATACAATTGGGAACTTTTTGATTATAAATTTGTAGTTTTATGAAAGAGTTCTTATTTGTAATTGTTTTAACCTGTCCTACGTTGTTCCTGAAAATATTCGTGTTGACCTCATTGACCTGCATGGGCAGTCCCGAATATTTTCGTGCTTACATCAGAACATTTTTGATACTAGATGTCGCTATGCGTCACAATTTTTATATTAAAATGAACTTTTAAAATATAATTTTTTTGTTTCTATATTATTCAATATATTTATTTTGTTTGTGCAACATAAAAAAAATAATTTTTAACGATACAGTAAACACGATTATTATTTTAAAAAAAATTTTAGGCTTAACATCAACAAAAATTCAACATGGTGTCACAGGCAACAAATAAAAATTTCAACATCGAATAGGTTAATATCAGAAATAATGAAACTACTGTTGAAATTAGTTCATAATTTTAAAATTAAAAGCAAATTGTTTTCATTGAAATCTAAGCAAATAAGTTATTTTTAAGTTTGAAAAGTTTGGCAGTTAGGTCAGCTCATTATAATTTCATGTACTATATCTTTGTTCTACCAACTTTAAGCAATATCAAAAAATTAGCACTGATTCTTTCTTTAAGCCACTGTAGAACATGTGTATGGGGATGCACATTTCTACAGTGATTTTTTTCTCATGTTACTGTATATCAATAAAGTGTATGTTTAGAACAACACATAAGTTTATTTATTTATTTTAAAAATTATTCAAACACTATAAAACATACAGAAATAATTGGGGAAAAATTGGGCTTTTGCCATTTGATGATATGACTGTTCATTTTTTTCCATAAAATTTGCTTAATTAACATGAACCTCATTAATACAGAGTGCCAATTTTTAATTCCTTTCAAACTTTACATTAATGGAGTTTGACTGTATTGCATGAAATGCAACAAAGTAGGTTTGACTGATCCCCTATTTACTTTGTTACATTTTATGAAGATTTATTGTTACACATTACTGTTACAATAACATTGACATTAAGGCACATTAATGTCAATGTTATTGTAAAAGATTTGGTAAAAGATTTTCTTGTGCTAAAACATACAATTCCAACTACAGTAGAGTGTCATTTATCCAAATCAATTGGGGACTGGGGTTGTTTGGTAAATCGATATTTCGGATAACTGATTATGTATGAAAAAATATATTAACCTATCCCATGTTGAAATTGTTCTCTGTTGCGTGTTGCTTCGCGTTGAATTTTCCTCGAGGTTAAGCCTAATGAAGACTATTGTATAGTTAAAAATTATTTTTTTATTTTGTACAAACAAAATAAATATATTGAAAAATATAAAAACAATAAAAAATTATACTTCAGAAGTTAATTTAGTATCAAAAACGTAAAATATTTGAGTAGCCCAAGACGTAGCCAAAGATTGAAGCACCACAGTACTGGCGAAAATTTAAATTTGCCGACTGGAATTCTTTCGGAT